GCAGAGAGGTGTAAGGCAGGAAGAGGGAAAGTGAGATGGAGGGGTGTAGGTGGGAAGGAGAGGAGGACAGAGGAAGAGGGGGGAGGGAGGACAGCGAGGAGAGAGGCAGTGCTGGGGGTGCAGGAGCATATAGACGCTATACTGGGACACTCCTGCCCTGTCCAGAAAATATCAGTGTGCTGACCACGTCCCTGGGTGTCATTCCCAGCTCTACCAGAAGATGGCGGTGCTGAAGTCCCTGTGCTCTCTCCACATGGAGAAGCTGCGCTCCTTCCGCCAGTTGTACCCCCTCATCGTCCACTCCCTGTTCCCCCCTCTTTACAAAGAGCTCTTCACCTCTGACAGTGAGCCCCCGCTGGCCAGGGAGTGAACTGCGCCCTCCGCTGCATACACTGATACCTGTCTGTCTGTCCTGTAAATTCTTTTATTCTTGACATTAAGATGAAAGCATTTAAAATATATATATATATTCTTTTATGAGTCTGGGGAATAGCTATTGTATATTTTAGATAAATATCTGAGTAATTATTGTTTTTTTTAATACTTTTTGTAGGGGAAACAGTGCTGATTATAATTTAAACAATACAATGTGTTTGAATGGTGATTTGTATCTGTCACAGGGCTCTGCTGCAAACCAGCTGTAACAGGAAAATGTATGAATTTGGGAATCTGGTGAAATAAGGAGTATGTGTGTGCTGGAGGGTATCTGTGTGTGTCAATTGTGTGACTGTGAGTGTGTCTGCATTCAGTTGTGTGAGTGTGAGAATGTATACATGTGTCTAATTGTGTGGTCGAAAGAGAGTGTGTGTATGTGTTCACAGTTGTGAGTGTGTGTATGTGTGTACAGCTGTGAGTGCGAGTGTGTGTCTAATTGTCTCAGTTTGAGAGTGTGTCCAATTGTGTGAGTACGTGTGTGTGTCCAATTGTGTGAGTGTGTGTCTGTGTGTCCAATTGTGTGAGTGTGTGTATGCCTGTACAGCTGTGTGAGTGGGAGAGTATGTGTGTCTGTGTGTGCAGTTGTGGAAGTGACAGAGTGTGTCTTTGTGTCTGTGCAGGAAGTTCCCCGGCCTGTGTGCTGGTGTGTGATAGGAGTGTGGCTGAGAGAAATTGCTCCTTTGCTTTTAAGCTTTAAAGTAGAGCTACATGAGGAAGATGAGCAGGAAGATGTACTGTAGCTTGTTTTTCTGGCTGTGGGTCAAGATCTGTAAATGTGTTTGTCTCCATTGTTTTGATTCCCTTATTTTAACTCTTGAATTGTCATTATTTGTAATCACTGTCAATGATAATTGTTACAATAAAATGTGAAAAGTGATTAAGCTTTGCAGTGGTGCCGTGGTTCACATATGAAATGGCGTTTTCCTGTGTGCTACCCATGACATTTGCATGTCGCTCTGCATCACATTTCTGTTCTTTGCATGTCTCTGTGCTCCTCACATGTGGAGTAGCATGTTCCGGTGCCTGACACGTGGGATCTTTGCCTGGCTCTGTGCACTGCACATGTCACAATCACGGTTGTGGTCAAGACAGTTATAAGCTGTTGCGTGAGGTAGGTCAGTCTTGACTTCTGCACAACACAGTCCAGAGTGTCACTGCGGCTCTGCACTGAGAGCTAACAGCTGCTCTCGTGCCTGGTAGACAAAAGAATCAGACTTCGTTTATAAACAAGTGATTCATGTTTAGCAGTGGGTGGTTCCTGGTTATTAGCGTTAATTTGGATTTAATTGTTGTTCTCTCTCCTTCATTTCTGTCTCTCTCTCTTTTTCCTCTTCCCTCTGTTCCTCTCCTTCTGTCTCCCTCTTCCTCTGCCTGTCTCACTCCCTCTGTCACTCTCCCACTGCTGTCTCACTCCCTCCCTGCCTGTCTCACTCCCTCTGTCACTCTCCCACTGCTGTCTCACTCCCTCCCTGCCTGTCTCACTCCCTCTGTCACTCTCCCACTGCTGTCTCACTCCCTCCCTGCCTGTCTAACTCCCTCTGTCACTCTCCCACTGCTGTCTCACTCCCTCTGCCTGTCTCTCTCCCTTTCTGTGCTTCCTTTTAAATTATAATTGGTCAGGGAAGGCCTGACCTGCGTCAAGCCTGTCCCTCCCCTCTCTCCTCTCTCTCCCCTCTCTCCTTTCTCCTCTCTCTTCTCCCTGAGCCTCTCCCTCCTCTCTCTTCTCCCTGAGCCTCTCCCTCCTCTCTCCTCTCCCTCGCCTATTTTCCACTGACGTCTGATGGCCAGTTCTCAGGAATTTGCTCTCTGGTGGGGATTTGTTCAGCTTTCTGTGTAATATTGGGAAAAAAAGCCAAGTTAGACATCATCCAACACAGATAAGAGCCAGAGATCTGGTATTGCATGTGTGGATGACAAACGCATACACACTGACAGAGAAAAACACAGGCACACAAACACTGACAGAGACATACAGACATACAAACACATTTACACACAGACACACACTGACACGGAAACGCACACTTACACACTGACAGAGACACTGACATGCAGACACACACACAGGGAGACAGAGATACTTGCTCTCTGACACACATCCAGAGAATCACACACACTCCTTTGGCTGTGTAGCCTGGAAAATATAAATTATACAGATTCTGGATGGAAGAGATTGTTTCATGCTCATGCATTGCGAGATATTTTCTGGAAGGTCTCAGGGGAGATCATGCAATGTTCTTCCTGGAACAGACGTCCGTGGCTGAGCTGGCATGTCAGTATCGTGCTTTTTCCCAGAGTGCTGCCATTAGGAAGACTGGCCCTCCAGATCCGCACAGATGACCTGGATACTGGCGCAGCACAGCTGCTGCAGAGGAATTTCTGCAGAATTCAGAATCGGGCAGACCCCTGGCAGAGGACATTGCACACTCATAACTCAGAGCAGAGCCACACGCACACAGGAGAGCCGCCACATGTAGATACAAAATAGGAATCACTGAGCTTGAAGAGGCTCATCTGGTGACTGGGGCCACAGTAAAAAGGCAAACAAAATGTCAGGATTTGCTCTGTACTGTGCTTTTACCCTGATCTCACTGGGCTGCCCTGCACTGTACTGTGCTTTTACCCTGATCTCACTGGGCTGCACTGCACTGGACTGTGCTTTTACCCTGATCTCACTGGACTTTATTGCACTGTACTGTGCTTTTACCCTGATCTCACTGGGCT